TTCATATAGCCGTGGATGTAAAATTTTGTCAATTAGATTTGAGTACTGTTGTAAAGGATATTATGATTGGTGCCAGCATCCTTTCCACTCTCACTGCTCTTTTTTAGCTGCCCTGTGGATTGGGGGCCCTGGCTCCAAGGATAGGCCTTGATTAATCTGAATTTAGAAGCGGTAACTCCTCGTAGCAGTGATTGGTTCAGGAATTTGGTCTTAGCCCACCAGAACACAACATTACCATGTTTATAATCTGGAAATAAGACACAAAGGAAAAGTCCTTGGAGGCTTTGGGGAAACACATTCTCACTTTTAAGAGAGAAGCACAGGAAGATGACCCCTTTTCTTCTTGGTATTGCTGTTGTGGTCAGGAACTTCTCTCAGAAGATAAAATTGATACTCCCAGGAGATAGAGCCAAGGAGGCACAGAGAAATGAGCCAGAACTGCTAGATTGAGCCCTGAACCCCTAGCTCTCCACTGGGCGTGTTACAGGAGTCAACAAGTTACCTTAAGCTAGTTTGATTTAGGGTTTCTGTTTTTTGCAGCTGAAAGCATCCTAGTTAATATAATTTTGTGGTGAATTATTCTTTTAACCCCTGAGTAGCCTCCAAGCATTACCTTTTCTTTGAATTTTACAGTCAATATTAATCTACTCCATAGTTTTATTGATAGCATCATTGACTGATTATAGTGTAAACATCTTCATTTCCTCATTGGAATAAGATTTCTCCACATCTTAACTATTGTTGTTTTAAAACTGAACTTCTAAGGTTGTTTTAGCATCTTCACACTTAGTAGTATTTAACTTTTACTTAAATATGTGACGACTTTACCTTTAATTTCATGTCTACTGTAAATACGTTTCTGTGAACAACTTACCTGGCAGAGAGGATGGGGCTTTGCTTGATTTGAGAGCAGTTAGAGAGCAATATGTGAACAAAACCCAGTAACACAGGATCACGTCACTGTGCAAAAGCCAGGCCTGTAGGCAGGGATGGACATGGCAGAGTGGAAAGCCAAGGGGAGAAAGCACAGGACTGTCGTGGCATGGCATCCTTTGAGAAGTCTGCGGAGTGACGAGGGAACAAGGAAAAAGAAGTCTGGAAGAAGGCCTAAGGCCTGCGCTGAAGGAGCTCTGAGGAGGCAGTGTCTGAACAGCACATCCGAGGAAAAGGGGCTGCCAGGCTGCTGGAGGCCTTCTTCACTGTCCTGTCCACATGGACTGTTGGGAGTTACTCTGGCAGAGGCACACGGAGAGTTAGATGAGGAGAGAGGTTGGCACAAGTTCCCAATAATCACGCATGAAATGGCAAGAGCTGTATCGTGACAGAATCTTAGCTTTATATGGAATTTCAGAGTTCCCAAAACTGCTCGAACCCATATTCTAACTAATTGGATCCTCCCAACCCTTTCTAGGGTTGAGGATACAGACGGATAGAACAGTTACAAGACCTGTCCAGAAGTTGGTAAACCTGCAGTTTGGGTCTTTTGACTTCCCAATTCAGTGCTTTCCAATAATCTTAATATTTTCCATTTTTAGTGAAATTCTTCTTTTTTTTCTAAAAATGTTACCTGTTTTAAGCCCCTTGTTGCTTATTTCTATATTTGCTAATTTCACAGTGTTCTACAGCACTTGTCTACCAACTGGCTCTTAGCTACAGCATAAACAAAACTAAATGCCTCAATTAACAACTTATAAACATTGAAAACCGCTGAATAATGAAAAGATGGATGAGTGTCTCCATCATTTATAACTTCCTCAAATAAGAGAAAGATAATACTTCTAGCAAATAGAAAACAAAAAAGACTAATACAAAGTTCTGAAATGTTCAAATGAATGGAGAGTAAGTGAGGCTTGAAGGGAACCTCAGAGTGGCTTTGTTGAGGGAAGATGCTAAAGTTGCCCTTTTTCCTGTACAGCAAAAGCAACTTGGCAAAAACTGGAATTACCATCTTATTAAGCCAGTCAGGAACATGTTAATTTAAACAGGCATTTTGTTTAAAATGTGAATAATTTTTTTTTGGTACCGGGGATCGAACTCTGGAGCTTGTGCTTTCGAGGCAGGGGGTGGAACCACTGAACTAAATCCCCAGCCATAGAATGTGAATAATTATTAATGATGAAATGTTGGAGATTTGCCCTCTAAGTTAGCCATGTATTCAGTAGACATTCTGGAAGTCATGAATTTGTTTTCTCTTTTATTGTGATTTTGTTAAAAAGAAAACTTTTAGACAAATTTAATGAAATTTAATTGAACAAAGACAATTCATGAATTCAGTGAGACTCAGACTGCACACAGCTGAGTAACATTTAACAGAAAAAGGGAAGTGACGTACAGAAAGTGAAATGAAGTACAGAGGCAGTGCACCTGGTTAAAAGTTGGCAGTTAGGGCCGGGGATTTAGCTCAGTGGTTTCATCGCCTGCCTCTCAAGCACAAGGTCCTGAGTTCTATCCCTGGTACAAAAAAAACAAACAAAAACTTGGCATTTACTTTATTTGAACCTGGTTTGACTAAAGCTTGGCTGCTGTGCTTGAGACCCAGTCATTTTTGTAAAGGCGAATTCCTAAGTTCAGTTCTCTGTTTAGTACTGTTAGGTTGCAGTTCCTTGTGCCAGAACTGGGGTGCATGAGTAAGAAGGCTTTCTCAGGCCAAATTTTATTTGCTTTAACATGATAAAAAAAACACATCATAAAATTTGCCATCTTAACCATTTTTAAGTGTACCCTTCAGTGGTGAGTACATTTACATTTTTGTGCAACTGATCTGCAGAACTTGCAAATCGGAAACTCTGGACCCATTAAACAGCTGCTCCCTTTCCCCTCCTTCCATCCCCTGGTTACTACCATTCTCCTTTCTATTTCTGTGGATTTGGAAAGCCATGAAATTTTATTTATTTATTTATTTATTTTGTACCAGGGATTGAACTCGGGACCTTGTGCTTGTGAGGCAGGCAGCACAACCATTGAGCTAAATCCCTGGCCCTATGAGTTTTTTTTAAGTTAATCTCAAGAAACACGAGTGCCTACCAGATATTAAGCATTGTCCGATGCTGGACCTGGACCAAAAGGAGAGAAAGTCTAGAGGAGGGTCTCTAGATGGTCTTTGTTCCATTGAATTTGTAGGTATATGAAAAGACAAATCACAATAAAATCCAGCATCTATTAAGTCTTAAGTGAGCAATGGCAACGATAAATTCTGTGGGATGCTAGCAATATATTTATGCTGTGGTGCTAAGTTTTGCTTCCACCACTCAGACCCTGCCATACTGAGGAAGGTACCGTAGAGAGATGTAGGAGCCATATGTCCTGGGAATATTGGGCACCAGATTGTATTTGTTAACAACCCATGATGATTACTGAGAGGAAAGAATGATTAAGAGGCTATTTTGCTAGATTAGCTTGGGTGTGATTTTTGTCTATTTTGAGATTCACAAGAGTTACCTTAAAAAGGCTTCCTTAGGCTAAAGAACCAGAGAAGAAGGGGAAAATCCAACTGGTTTAATCCTGTGCGTTATTCAATAAAGCTGAAGCCGGAAAGCGGCCTGTTTTGGGTGCCTTCAGTATCTGAAGAAACAGAGCTGTTGAAGGCCCCTTCCACCCCAAATAACTGCAGTTAATGACAATTTAGAGGATGCATAATTCACATGCTTTCTCAAAATACCTTGGAAACTCCTTTAAGGAGTTCTGTATAGAAGCAAAAGAGTAGACAAAGGTAAAAGCTGTGTAGCCAAATGATGAAGATTTAGCAGACTGCAACCCAGTTGCCTTTACCAACTAATCTCCCAGAAAGCTTCTTCCCAATGTATATAGAATGTGCTGATAGTTGTCAAGGGCTTTGTGGTTCTTTGTAATACAGTGGACCCTCAAGTTACAACTGGCCTGACATATGAACAACTTGGTTTAATTAGGTTAATGGGAGATTCATCTGCTTCTTGTTATCTATAGTGTATACTCTGGTAAACATCCAGATTCCAGCTGTATTGATTTACAACCAACTTGAGTTACAACCAGCCCTCAGGAACCAATTGAGTTTGTGTCACGGTCCACAATATGTTGAAATCCCTAATTTGGTGGGTTTGTGTTTGTTTGTTTTGTACTGGGGATCAAACTCAGGACCTTATACTTGCAAGGCAGGCGCTGGAACCACTGAGCTAAATCCTGGCCCCTTAATTTTGTTTTGAGTTGCCTCAGAGAGGTGAAATAGGTGAGGGAGGGTTGAACTTTTGAAGCATCAGAGCCCCATATAACTTTCACATGGCACCTGGCACACTCTGGTGAGCATTTCTTAACTTTGGGGAGCTTTTAACCCTTGACCAGTTAGGTCAGCATCTCAGAATTTGGGGAAGGAAGCAGCCCTAGTCATGAAGTGTTTTGTTTTGTTTTGCTTTGTTTTTTAAACTCTCCAAGTAATTCTGAAATACAGCCAGGACTAAAAACCATTATAGCTATTTCAGTTCTAGGTAGTAATCTATGGAAACATTTATTTAAATGTACATAAAACACCCCCTAAGTGTATAAAATAAAATGCAAGGTTTTCCCTCCTTAGCCTTCAAATAAGTAGCCCCCCACGTTAGTTGCAGGTTCCAAGAAACAAATGAACAAATATGGAGAAAGACATTTGAAATCAGTCCCGTGGCTTTCTTTAGAGAAGGATGGAGAGAGAGGGTAGGAAGCATTGTTTATATGTATTTCAGGAAGTAGAAAATATGGCATGTTCTCAATCTATCTAAATTATGTAACTTTGCAGGATGTGGTCCATTTGTGTCAAAATAATGAGGCAAAGAATACGTTGCATTTAACATGAGTGGGAATTCTTTGCAGAGCAATTAGCATTCCTTTCTCCAGCCTGTATTCAGAGGAAACATACCATTCACACCCCTCTCTGTTCACATTTTCCAGTGCGTTGGAGAGCTTTTTCTCAATAGAAATCTTTGTCCTCTTCCTAATAAGACTTGGATTAGATTTGAAGAAACTTAGCATATCCTTCTTTGTTTTTCTGGCAGGAATTGATTTTAAAATCAGAACGATAGAACTAGATGGAAAGAAAATTAAGCTTCAGATATGGTAAGTAAAAAAAAAACACACACACTGTTTTTGCTTTAATCAGAAATTGAAAGTGGGAGTTAAAATGTGAATTATGATAAGTCAGAGGCTAAAACATCTTTTCTTTACCAGAACCAAGGGGAAATGAGTAAGTACTGAGCTTCCTTCAAAGGTATCTCCAGCAAGACTGGGGAGGTGAAATGGTTCCACTAACTCTTGGGGCCACAGGGTTCTGGGAACTTGTTCTTCCCAAGCTCTAATTTTTTACAGGAGGACACTAAATTTTAAAATGTGTAAATTAATTCTTCACTGCAGTTTTTGTAGCTGTAAAATCAGATAAGACAAAATGGTCAAGTTGTGGGCCAGGGATTTAGCTCAGTGGTGCCACCACTTGCCTTACAAGCTGAAGGTCCCGAGTTTGATCCCTGGTACCAAAAGAACAAACAATCAAGCAAAAAAAAAAAAAAAAAATGGTCAAGTGGTATAAACCCCAAGCAGAAAGTGTAGATCTGGGTTATAGCCCCAGTGCCCTAAATTGAGGACTTTGGGCCAATAGTTTCTCTTCTATATTAGTCAGCTTTCCATCTCTGTAATTAAAGCCCTAAGATAAGTGACTTATAAAGAGGAAAGGCTTAATTTGGCTCACAGTTTTGGAGGTTCCAGTTCAAGCTCTGGTGGCTCCATTGGTTTGGGTCTCTGATGGTTGCCAGATGGCAATGGTTGGGTGCACATGGTAGAGCAAATGCCTCACCTTATGGACTCAAGAGCAGGAGAGAGACAGAAAGGGGTGGTGTCCCACAGTCCCCTTGAAGGGCTTGTTCCAAGTGCTATAAGGACTTCCCACTAGCTCTGCCCTCAAAGGTTTCATCACCTCCCAGTATTGCTACCCTAGGGGCCAAGCTTTTAACAGATGGACCTTCAGGAACACATATCCAAATGATAGCACTTTCTCAGGATCAGCTTTCTTCACTTGTAATAAATTGGTTGGACTGGTGACGCTGGAGTTCCCCTCTAGCTCTGATAGTTTATAATTTATTTGCATGTTTCTTCTCATTAAATAGAAAAACTAGGACTATTTGAGTACTTAGGGATAAAATAAGTCTTGCCTTCTCTTAATTTAAGCTACTCTGTATTTAAAAAAAGAAAAAATGAAGAAGAAGCCAGACCCCATGGTGCACATCTCCAATCCTAGTACTCAGGAAGCCGAGGAGAAGGATGTTGGATTTGGGGCGAGATTGGGCTACATAGTGAGATCCTGTCTCAAAAAACAAAACAAAATAAATGTTGTCTCTTATACAACACAGCACTTCTGACCTCAGCCATGTGGGGTTTTTTTCTCGAATACCAAGCAGTTTTCCAAATGGGTGTTCTGTACTGACTTCCTCCCTAGAAATAGTATAGTTCCCACAGGTTAAGCACTTAATCACTCAGTCTTCCCTCTACTACTGATGCCAGTTGCAAGCAGTAAGTGTTTACCTCTACTCCTGACTGACTATCCCACAACCCTCTCCCGGGGTGTGATCACAGAACTCAGAGAAACACATTTGCCCATTTATTATAGGCTAGGAGAACAGCCAGATGGAAGAGATGTGCAAGGCAAGCTCTGTGGGAAGGGTTTTGGAGCATCTGTGCCCTCTCTGGGCATGCAGCATGCTCCTAGCACCTCCACTGTTCTGATATCTCAAACCCTGAACTCTGTCTTCTGGGTTTTTATGGAGACTTTACTACGTAGGCACGATTGACTGTATCACTGGCGGTTGGTAGTCAGCTCAACTCTTGAGTCCTGCATCACTCTCTTAGGATTGGTTGGTGGCACTTAAGATGCCTGCACTCTAATCACAGGGTTGTGTTCTTGACAAACAGCCCCCATTCTGAAGTCATCTAGGAGTCCCAGCACCAGCATCTCATTAGCATACAAAAAGATACATCACTTCAGAGAGTCCAGGAGCTTTAGGAGCTGTGTGCCAGGCAGCTGTGCCAGAGGCCAAATACATATTTCTTCTTGTATCACACTATCATAGCTCCTGTAAGTAAAGTAGCATAGACTGGGTGTCTTAAACAATTGAAATAGGATTAAAAAATATAGTTAATGTTTAAATTAAAAATTAGTACATAAAAGAAACATTGCCATTCATCCCCTTCAAAATATTCCCCCATGTTTCAAGCACACTTCGCCATCATTCTTGCCACTTTCTAAAGCAGTTCTGAAAGTCTTCTTTCATGGATGTCTTTTCATGGCTGCTGTGACATCTTGAATTGATTCAAAACATTTATAGCAGTTTATGTCAAATAAAAACATTACAGTGTGTCCTCATCTACCTTATTCACCAGATCTGGCATTGTGCAACTGCTCCCAAATCAACATGACAATGCAAGGTAAACATTTTGAATCAGTCCAGGACATGGCAGCTAGGACAGCACAACCAAAGACACTTACAAAAGAAGACTCCAGACTGCTTCAGAAAGTGGCAAGAACGATGGGATAAGTGTGTTTGAAGCAAGGGAAGTACTTTGAGGGGGAGTAATGGCAATATGTCTTTTACTATAATAAATTTTTTGAAAAAATTAAACATTCATTGTATATTTTGATCACTCCTCATATTTCTCACGTTCTAGAGTCTGAGAGGTCCAAGATCAAGGTACCAGCTGATCCAGAGTCTAACAGAGAGGGCCTCCTTCCTGGCTTGCAGATGCCTCTTCACATGGCCCAGACAGAGATCATCTCTCTGGTGTCTCTGCTCTTAAGAACACCAGTTCAGTTCATGAGGGCTCCACTCTCCTGAAACCATGACCAAAATTCCCCCTCAAATACCATCCCATTGAGGATTAGGCTTCCAGATAGGAACTTTGGAGGAACACGAACATTAGATCTATGGCATATCTCCCATCTCTCATGTTGGAATGTGCAAGGCAATGATTACCTTATACAACTCTGGCTGGCAGATAGGTAAATAATTTGTCAAAATACAATGAATAAATGTGATACTTTCAGACTGACAAGTTGAGTATTTTTTACTTGAACCCAGAAGCTCTTTTTAGTATTTTTTTAAACCTCCTAGAAATAAGTTTAATTTCTTTCAGTGTGATGCCTAGCGTGGAGCATTAGAGAGCTGGAGCCTTGAGAAAGGTTTTTGATGATGTTGCTGATCTAATATGTAATGACAGTAGTAAACAAAACTTAGAAATTTAGAGTGCCACAAACTAAGAAGGGGGCAGGGCTACATAGTAAAGTACAGGTTGAATATCCCTTACCCAAAATGCTTGGGATCAGAAGTCTTTTAGAGCTCAGATTTTGGAATATTTACATATATAATGAAATATCTTGGGGATGGGACCCATGTCTGAACACAAAATTAATTTATTTCCTACACCTTACACACTGTGAGGTAATTTCATACAGTATTTCAAATATAAAGCAAAGCTTTATGGTGTGGAATTTTCCACTTGTGGGATCATGTTGGTACACAAAAAGTACCAAGATTTTGGAGCATTCCAGATTTCTGATCCTCAGCCTATATGTTTATCAGCTTTTTCTGTAGGTTCTTTTTCTTCTTTGAATCTCAAAACTGGGAAAGAATTAGAATGTTATATTAAGGTCTTCCACTCTTCTGTCATTAAGTAGGAAACAAAGAGTAGTTACATTCATCAAAGGCAGATGTCTGGGTTAATGGTAGTGCTGGGACAGTCACTCAAATCTCCTGGGACATAATATCAATGCTGTATATTAGCCTGACCTAGTGGTTCCAAGTATACTTCATTGGAAGCGTCACACAGGCTGCCCTTTTCTTGTGGTATTTAGTGTGAAGCCTAATATTTTAAAGGCATAAAACAATTTTTATAAGAGGGAAGCAAGGAGAATTTCTGATTCTGTGCTACATAGTTCTGATCATAGCAATAGGAATTCTTCTGGGAGCCTGTGAGTAATCAGCTAATTAGAACTTGGTCCAGCATAGCTGCAGTGGTTGGGGTGTGGTTTGTCCCCCAAGGGTCCATGTGTTGGAAGCTTGGTCCTCTGTGAGGCAGTGGGAGATGGTGTGGAATCTGTAAGAGGTGCATCTGAGTGGGAGGACCTTAGGTCACTGAGGATGCTACCCTTTGAAGGGAATACTGATCTCCCAGAGTGAGTTCTCATAAGAGCCAGTTGTTATGAAAGCATGAGCCTGAGTTGCTCCCTCTGGCTTCCTGTCTTGAGATGGGCCCTTTCTTCCATTCATGTTCCTACTACTGTCATCTGCCACAGTGTGATGTAGCCAACGGGTTCCTCACTCAAAGTGAACTGATGCCATTGCCATGCTCTTGAGCTTCCAAAACTGTGAGCTAAGTAAACCTCTTTTTCTTTATAAAGTGATGTGCCTTGGATATTTCACTATGGTAACACACAATGTGCTAATCCAGTAGCCAGAACATCATGGCCATGTCTGTCCTCTCAGCAGACCACTGAGTCCTCACAGCCCACATTTAGTGTGGTACAGTTTCTTCTTCATCCTCACCACAAAGCTGGTTCTGAATCAGTCAAGAAAATACGGTTACCCTGCTCAAGAGGTGCTTGGCTTCTCTTTTCCCCATGAAAACATAATTGCTTTATGCTGTGCATAAATCAAGGGCCCCAAACATTTGATCCCGATCCGTGAGAGAATAGGGAACTAAGGCTAGACATGACCTTTGGTTAAACAGCTGAGCCCCAGGATGCGAATCTCACTCGGGGTCAGACCTGTTCAGTGGCAGAGACGGGAGCCTGTTTCCTCTTTTGCAGGATGAGGATAATGGTAATACCACCCCACGCCCGCCCCCCCCCCCACATGCACACATGCACACATGCACACATATGCGCCGGGCTGGGATTGCATTGTGTGAGCACATTGTGAAAATATTTTGTAAGTAAACATAAATGTTAAAGAATTTATTGTTTTTAATTTACTATGTTTCCCTTGGACTCTAATCCCTTGTTAGGATTTAGTGTGTATTAGATTTCTAACATATTTCCACAGGTGCCTCTTTCTCCCTTGTGGTTAAATTGTAGGTAGTGAATTAGTTCTGGCTCTAAGTAGCAAAATTGAGAGTATTGATTCCCCCAAATCTCCAGGAAATTTGACTTTTTTTTATAGGATTGCTGCTACAAGTATAATTAAAAACTTTCGATTTATGCATATGTACTTGTTTATTTTTGCAGTGCTGGGGATTGAACCCAGGGCCCTTGTGCATACTGGGCAATTGCTCTATCACTGAGCTACACCCACAGCGTGTCAGAATATATTTTAACAATATGTTATTATCTAAAAACCAAGAATATATGGAAGCTTATGTAATGTCAAGGTGCTCATTCATGGTTAAAAGTCTTTGGAAACATTGTCAAGAATGATGCCTTGAGTTGCAGGCTTCTGTGTATTCTTGGCCTCTACTACTGAAAATGTTCTGGAGATCTATTTTATTTTGCTCTGCTGAGCAGAATGTACATAGTACTAAGTCCAGTTCAAGTATTTGCTTTGTGAAGAAATGATACATTCAATCAAGAAAGCAAAATGCCTTAATCATTAAGCATTTATATAAAGGATTATTGCCACCTCTGGGAGTCTAAAGAACTTGGAGCTATTCTCTCTTCCCTCCCACATGTGTTTGACTAATACGACATGCTAGTCCCTAACAGGACCTGTATGTTTTCCTGTTGCTGCTTTTATCATCAAGGTCCAAATTTTTCATCCAAGTCATGGTGAGCTCTGACAGGCTCCTGTGGCCACTGCCGCCTCCAGCTTGCAGATGCGCAGTGGGCTCCCTTTATTTTTGTGCTCCCTTCTCCCCTGCAACCACCGTGCTGTGAGCAAACCCAGATTCCCTCACCTCTAGCTTGGGACCTCTGCTCAGTGATGCTGATGATAACCCTTCAAACCATTCTCTCCTTTGTTTCAAATTTTAGGGACACAGCAGGTCAGGAAAGATTCCGAACAATCACAACCGCTTACTATAGAGGAGCCATGGTGAGTGTGTTTTAGGGTTTTATAACTCTTCAGGTGAAAGTAAAATATGAATATGCATTTGCCCAGATTAGAGCATTCAAGCTGAACTCTAGTACAGGGCGGGGGGGATACATTTTTTAAATGGGAAAACAAAACATTTTAAAGGTTTTTTGATGTTTTGTGTTTAGTAACTACATTTTGTCGTTGATCTTATAACCAGGCAGTTAGCTTGTAGGTTTTCTAGAACTTCACATCCTGAGGTGTTTGTGTACTTTTGTGAGTTTTTGCCTTCTATGAATTACTTGTGACAATCTTAGCAGACCACAAGCCTTGTGTCTAAGGGTTCATTTCTTATACTCAGCCCCACTGCCATCATCCCTTATCTCACCACCCCCACAGCATTCCCTGTTCGTGGTTCACCTTTCTGGAGTCTCCTCTATGAACATTTTGCCAGCAGTTGAATGATCTTGACTCTCTGAGGCTTAGAATCTGGCAAATCTGAACTGCTGGTCATTCTTTGCTACATCTTGGCCTTATTCTCTTTATCATACCTTCATCACTTGGTCATTGGTCATTTTACATCTTGATGCTTCATCTATTCGATACATTTTTATTGCTTGTTGGCTCTGGCAAGTCCTATGTGGTGTTGGGAGCACAGTGGAAAACAAGGCAGGTTGCAAGCAGAGATGTGCTGAACCACGCTTTTGATGGCAGGCCCAGACTAGGGCTTTATCTCTGGCATTTAGGCCTAAGCTAGAGGTATAGCTCAGTGGTAGAGCATGTGCTTAGCATGCATGAGGCCCTGGGCTTCATCTTCAGCACTAAAAAATCTAAATTAATTAGGCCCAAGCCAAGCCCAAGTTGGAGCCTTCAATTATGATGAAACCCAATATGCTCAGAGATCCTTTGAAGGTTGAACAGTTGGACTCAGAGTCCAACCTGATCTGTTTCAGCAATCCACCTGCCATCATACTCAGCTTATTGCTTAAAAGGCTGTAGTACCCCCAGAAGTGTTTTGGGGATGACAAAGTGATGGCTGTCCCTTGCCTCTAGGAAGATATGAGCTGAATCCACAGATTTCGCCATGATCCTGTTGCCCTCCCTTCCTTCTCCACTGCTGCTTGCCCACTATTTTTTGAATATCATTAACTCATTTCTGCAGAAAAACTCTAGCATACCACTAACCATGTTATATGTATGTGTTCTCCACACTCTACCCTATGATACTTTCAAGATTATGAAGTTAGCATTTTTATAAAGATAGTTGTAGCTACTCTCTATTTTGCTTAGATTGGAACCAGAGGGAAGAGACTTACTGTGTGTGCCATGAAGAAACGTATTAGTTGTTTCCTCCATGAAGGATTTTAGGAAAAAGAGAACATCTTAATGGGATGGTTTGGAGTAGTTTACAGGGAATTCTGATTAGAAGCACCTTAGACACAAGGTTTTCTAGGAACCAGTCTTTTACATTTTGGGAAAGGTGTGTCCATGTTATTTGCATACTTGTTTTCACTAGAGAGCTGATAGGAACACTCAGAATGTGGGAGCAAATGTTGCGCTTGGATATCCAGCTCTAGTTCATTGTCTGAGGAAAGAGGCCATTAAAATGTGTTAATTTAGGTCTGGGGATTTAGCCCAGTGGTTCTGCTGCCTGCCTCGCAAGCACAAGGTCCTGATCCCCGAGTTTGATTCCTGGTACCAAAAAAAAAAAGTGTTAATTTAGACTTGAAGGTTATGTCTTTTCATTAATCTTCTGCCTAATCTTTCCTCACATGACTTCAAATAATTAAAAAAGTATTGCTATTCTAGGTAGTATTATCTTTTGCATTTTGAAGGTAGAGATTTTTGTCTCTTGTTTTGCCTGAAAGGGTAGATGCTCAATAAATAGTTGCTGACAGAGTGAATCAATGGAAAATTTCAGACATAGAAACAATCTTAGAAAAATCTCCAGGAAATCCTGCTGTGTAGAAATCCTGGATCTCCCAGATCATGTGCTCCAGGGAGGTGAGGGGCCATCATGTTTTCATTGGGGTGTACCATTTTCAGCCAGAGTTGCTTGTGGCAGGTTTAGTTTTGCTCATTCAGGTGTGCAGGATGTTCACAAGCATTGTGCTGGACCCACCACCATGGCAGAATTCTCTGCTGTTTCAGACACTTCAACAACTTCACAGGACTAGCAATAATTCTGGTGGACAATCAGGCTTCGGGGTAAAAAGGACAATATCATTACATCATCAAGATTTCTCACTGACCGACACCATCTTCTTAATTCTTAGGAAGTTGTTCTTGTAGGTCTATACTAATAGATATGTAAAATTTTAATTGATATGCTTAATTTGTATTTTCAGCTGATTCATATTAATGTCATTTAGCTTACAAAACACTATTGAAACCAAAGATATAAATTAATATAGCTACCATTTATTGACTTGAAGCTAAATCTTGGGTTCTAGGTTAAGTCACTTATAAATAATAGCTTAGTAGATTCTCAAAACAATCCCATGTGGAAGATGTATTGTCCTCATTGTTCTCTAAGAGCAAGGAGAATAAAATATCTCCAGGATCACCGTGTTGATACAAGGTAGAACCTAAGCCAGAAGCTTCTCACTTCAGAGCCTGTGGTCTTCACACCACACTCTGTTCACACTTTCTGTCCTAACCAAGCAAAGGGAAACTTTGTAACCATAGCATATAAATGATCAGGGTTATTCATAAAGTCCAAAGGGTGGTAGAGCTATTAGAATTTGGTTAATTTTAATATTATAGCCAGGCATCTTATATCAGGAATTATTTAGAATCTACTTGGATTTTTTTATTGTGGTAAAATATATATGCAGAAAATTTACCTGTCATTTTAAGCGTACAATTTTCCACTTTGATTTTTTTAAACAAAATTATTTTCATTGAGATAATTATAAAATCTCTTATACAGTGTGTAGCCAAAGTGAAGCATTTGAGGCAAGAAGGAAGGATAAGCATATTGCTTGTCATTTAAACAATAATATATATATATGTTTTATTTTTATTTATTTATTTATTTATTTTTGAGACAGGGTCTCACTTTGTAGTTCAGGCTGGCCTTGAACTCATTGGTAGCCCAGGCTGGCCTCAAACTCGCAGTGATCCTCCTGCCTCAAACAATAATATTTTTTTCTGGTTGCAAATAAAAATGGATATACATAGTATAGAAAACTTTGAATATCCTAAGAAATCATCCACAATCCTACTACTCTGACAGATACTTTTTGTTAATGTTTTATTTCCTGGATTCTTTTGTCTATGTGTACATGATTTGTATTTATTTACATTGATATTTACTTCCAAAGTTGGAAGCCACACCTTGAAGGACTTTGCCTACCAGGCTAAGGAATTTTAACTTAATTCTGAATGCACAGGAGAGATACTATACTAAGGAATTTGGAGCTATGGAAGGGTCGAAGGTGCCCTTGTGGAAGGAGGAGTAGAGGGGTGAAGAATGAAGGCAGGGAGACAGTTGGAGACTCTGACAGTAATCCAGGTAAAGGCTAATTGATGAGAATCTGAATAAGCCTTTGTATGGGAGGTGAGGGGGCAGAGTCTGGAAACACTGAGTGATTGGGTCTGGAGAACTTGACGGGCTGTGAATGAGATAACCTCCAGGTGTTTGTGTAGGCTGGCCGGCTGAGTTTTACCTTTCACTGAATGGTAATCAGGAAGAGCAGATGACTCAGGAAGGACCTAAGACAATGTCATATTTTACTTAGCAGTGTTTATGGTGACTACAAGAGCCACGCAGCAGCTGAGATCCAGACAGTGGTTCCTAGAGACACCTGGTCCCTGTCTACCTTCCTCCCTCAATTTGTGCCTGTCCCCTGTCAGATCTCTGCAGTCTCGCCAAGCTTCTTTCACAGGGTCCCATGGGCTCTGGGCTTCCATGTCAGTGAGATGTTTATAACGTTTCCTCTCTTTGCCAGGCGCTGTGGCAAACCTAACAACTCCTCTGCCCAGCTTAAGTCTGCTCAATCCTCAGGCCCTGGCTGTAATATTATCTCAGGGAAACCTTCTCTGATCACTCCAGTCTCTCAGCCAGATTAAATTACATCCCTAACATCAGAGCTCAGAACTCCCCATGCTTTTTCATAGCAGTTGTCAAAGTTATAATTAATTGTATTAATTAATTGGTTCATTGTCTTTTTCTTTGCTAGCATCCACAAGAGGAAGGGATTTCGACTATCTTGTTCACTGCTAGTAGCATCTAGTATTGTATTAGGCATATAGTAAGTACTCATTAAATAGTTGTTGAATGGATGGACAGATGAATAGATCTAGCATGTAGTACCAAAGTGTGGCCTAAGGATATAGATTCTGGACTGGCTATACCCAAGTGTTAATTTAACATTTGGAAGTTGAACCTTTTAGAAATACCAGACATGGGAGCTTCAAAAATATGACTACAATATTTTTTAATTAAACTCATATAACAAATATTTTAAGTGCCTGTGATTCACCTAGATAAATGGTGACATTTTGATCAACCTATAAAAAAAATAATTTTAAAGCAGTACGGTCTCAATCTTAGTAGAGCAGTAAAAGGCACAATTTCTACTTAGAATAAACAAAGGGACAATAGAAGTGATTACCTCTCCTCTCACTCTTACCTCTGTTTTAATTTTAACTTGCCTTCAGCTACAGTTGGTGCTGATTGTTATCCTGTGAGGTCAGGTATCGGCTTTACCACAATCTCTGATTCACTGAAGGTTAACTGTGAAGATGTTAACAGATTTTTTATTTATTTATGTAGTGAGACAATGGAAGAATTTATTTTTGTTTTTCTCTACTTTCCAAATTTATTATGAGTCCCTTTTTAAGGGACCAAAAAGGACAAAGAAAAGGTTTCTGGAAGGAAGGAACACATTGACGTTATTTACTATAATTATAAATGTGTAAAGGACTATATAAGACTTTTGTTTCTTCTTATAGGGGATTATGCTGGTGTATGACATCACAAATGAAAAATCCTTCGACAATATTAAGAACTGGATAAGAAACATTGAAGAGGTATGGATGGAAGAAAGCAGTGATTCTGGAAGAGACCCTGCCATGCATTTGTAGAAGGCTCTTTCTGTCTGTCAGAGGCCTCCATCTCTGGGAAGAGAAGGAGGGCCAGGCTGAGCCCCCTGTCCCTCCCTGAAGGGCCAGGTCTCTGTTCCTGCCACCCTGACCACTGTGCGGTATGGACAGAGGAGCTGTTTTACAGAATTGTAAATTTAGGCTAGATCTTGACAATAATTTAATCCAAGTCCCCTTTTTACACACGAGGAAACTCAGATCAGAAAGAAGTGACATGCCAGTGTTTGTACAGCCTTTAAAAAGGAGATCTAGAATTAAAACACTGGACTCCCAGGCTCTATCTATTCCACAAAAATATATCTTTGGCAACTTTTTTTCCTTCTAACATTTTCTCCATGTTAAATATTTAAAATTTGGCTTAATTCCAGAAAAATTGATGTTAAGGTTTTGTAAATATCTGATAGTTCAGAAAGAAATTTGACTACGAAATAACTTTTTACATATTATAATGGCCCACATACATTTAATTTTTAAACTGTTTAGAATCCAGAATACTTTTTCCACTGGGTCACTCAGTGCTAAGTTTTTCTCTGTGTTTGACCCAAATATTTGGAGGTTTTGCTATTAGATAACTATAAGCTTTATTTGTCTTATTTCACATTCAAAAGCAAAACAAAAGAATGACTGTGAGCTCTTGGGATAGAAGTGTGTATAGGCTCTGTGAAATGTCTAAGGTGTTACATTTTCCCACTTCCCATCTTTAAACTTTTCTCTGAATCAGACCTTGTGTTGAATGAAAGATTATTTGTTTTATATTAAGGTATTTACTTGATGTGTTTCTGACAGGTTAGGATTTTCCTGCTGAATAACCGTGGTCTTTTTCAGGCTGTTTTTATAGCATACTATTTTCTCCTTGCAGCATGCTTCTTCAGATGTTGAAAGAATGATCCTGGGTAACAAATGTGATATGAATGACAAAAGACAAGTGTCAAAAGAAAGAGGGGAGAAGGTAAATTTAAACTGAATGGATAAAGGTTGCAGTCAACTAACATTAAACATTCGTTTTCTTAGTATTATTTGTTGATTTACATTTTAAAAATCTATGTTTTAATCCTTTAAAATTTGATACTAACAGCAAAGAGATGAAATTCATACTTGAATAATGTGCATTAGTATTCTGAATCCAACTCTATATACTGTGTGGTCATGACTCACTCCTAAAGAATTTGCTAATGTTTTCTGGGAGTTACAAATTAGTCCTTTAAGATTCCTGCAGGTTAGAGGTCAAGTTCTTTCTTCCAGATCTATGTGAAAAGCCCAGTTTGGGATTTAAAATAATTCCTTCTCTTTGAAAAAAACAAATAATGGGATAGGTGAAGTTCAACAGTAATCATTTTCTCATTCATATTTTTTCTAAGGATACTTTACTATGCATCAGATTTAAGTCATTATGGATAAGCTCTTAATTGATCAGACTATGGATGTATCATTTATAGGTTTTTCTCTGTTTTGTGTCCTATAAACAAAAAGTTTACATTTTTGTACATATTTACTTCTATGGCATTTTTTAAGTGGACTTAGAGGTTTCACTTTTTAAGTTTTGGAATTTTCTTTGGTCTTTTTTTCAGTGATACTTGCAAAATGCGTTTTTTTTTGATGGTGGGGGTGGTACTGGGGATCAAACTCTGGGACCTTGTGCTTGCGAGGCAGGTGCTGGAAACACTGAGCTAAATCCCCGGCCCACAAAGTGCATTTTTCAATATCTAACCACAAACTTTTTCCCTTAAAGACATTCACTTAATTTTAGTGTTGTAAATGAACTGGGGAGGTTAGATAGTAATATGGAAGAGTTTACAATATGAAATTAATAGTTAATAGAAATCTAAGCATTGAGTACTTCAGTGTTCTTGTTCTGTAAGGGACTCATTCAAATTAAAAGTCAGCATGGTAATTGTAGGAGAATTGTATTTTTTTTTTTGGAGACAGGGTCTCGATGTGTAGTTAAAGCTGGCCTTGAACTCACTGTGTAGCCCAGGCTGGCCTTCAATTTAGGGCAATCCTCCTGCCTCAGCCTCCCAGGTGTTGGGATTATGGGTGTGTGCCAAGAATTGCACTTTTTTTTTTTGGTACCGGGGATTGAATTTCGGACGGTGAAACCACTGAGCTAAATTCCCGGCCCCAAGAATTGTACTTTTGAAGCAGATAAAAGGGGCAAATGAATCTCAAGTTAATGGTAAGGGTAGGAATCCATCTCATAGATGTTCTTATATACATAGAGAGAGAACTAAAAAAATAATAGAGCAAAGAAAAATATTGAAATTTTGTTTACAATGAAATTTGTGCTACTTTTACAGTTTTTTTGTTTTGTTTTGTTTTTTGGGGCGGTACCAGGGGTTGAACTCAGGACCTTGTGCTTGCAAGGCAGGCACTGGAACCACTGAGCTAAATCCCTGGCCCCTCTTTTACACTTAAATTATGTAACTCCAGTTGCAATAGAAGAAAGCAAAGAAATTTGAGAACCATAGTAGTTGTAATATAGATAGCCTACTTTGGGGACTTTGAAAAAACTAAAAAACAAAAAGCTTTACATGTTAAGCTACTTTCACTGAATTTACTGCCTGTGTTTGCCTTTCAGTTAGCAATTGACTATGGGATTAAATTCTTGGAGACAAGTGCAAAATCCAGTACAAATGTAGAAGAGGTAAGGAAGTATTTGGTGACCTGTTAGATAGTGGGACCAGTGGTTCTCAAAGCCTTGGTATTTTCTGACATAGAGAAAGCCTTTTTTGGTTATTGGTTGGTTGGTGATGATTGATTGATTGATTGATGCTGAGGACAGGGCCTCGAGCTTGATAGGCAAGTGATCTACCACTGAGCTAAATCCCCAGCCCCGGGAAAGCGTTTTGCTGACCTACTTCCATTCTGTGTACTTTTGTACCTCTGACTTGTATGTGGACTCTGGTTGCTGAACTTCAAGCATCCAGCCTCCATATGGTCAATATTAGATTGCTTAATTAAGAGTCACTGAACAGAGCCTAGAAGTTCAGTTTAAATTCAGTGTAGTCCTTTCTTTGGGAAGCTGGAAATCCTAGACTAGAAAGCCAAGCAGTGTCCTCTACTCATTTGTCATCATTCATGTCACCCTATAGTAGCCAGTAGCAGACAAGTTAAATTACTTCCATGTCTGTACTCTCTCAAAAGAGAATCAGACTGTTAACTTATTGAACAGATTCCCTTTGTGTATACATTTGAAGTAAATTAAGCACAATACATTGTAACACTGTGGCATTTAGTAGAAATAAGAAAGTGTTTTATCAAGGAGTAACTTTCATAAATTTTCATTAAGCTAGATGTTAAAGAATACCAGATCATTTGTAAAGTCTTTTAAGGTTTTTTCACCAAGGGCAGAATTGTTGAAGATAATTTCTTTGTTTAAGAACCATTTTTAAACTGATCATAAAATAATACATTTAATGTATATAATATATGTAATTTGCTTACTAATGCTGATGGTCTCCTAAACATTGATTTTTTTTTTTTTAGGCTGCTATTATAACATAATGGCTAAAACTGAAGACTGAAGTGACTTTACTAGTCAGAGACACTAATCAGAACTTTTTCTTTGTTTTAAATAACTAACACTCATCTTTTCAGGTTGGGTGCTGGGAAACAGGAAATCTCTGTTGATTTATTTACATAAGCGTAGTTAAGCAGAAAAATACTTCCTTCTGCTTGCAGAAAAAGATTTCCCTCCATTATAAAGGGCAGCTTGAATAGTGGAGATGAGAAAAGTATCACTCCACAAGGAGAATTCATTACCAAGGCTTTGTGAAGCAGGCTTGGTCTCTGAGAGTACCTGCATCCTAATGGTGGCTACCGCTTAGAGGGAGCGCTGAGTTTGGAAGTATGAAGCTGGAAGTTGCCTGAGCTGCTTATTCCAAAGAGGTGTTGTAGAGAAGTTAGCAATTTTCCCAGAGCTTTGGTGTCATTAACCTCATAAAAGCTGAAATAGGCTTACTTAGAAATATACAGGTGACCAGTGTGATGGTGAGACACGACAGTGAGTAATACTAGTAGTTACATTGTTTCTGTGTAATTGGGTTGGAAATGATCCTTTGCCTGTACAGTTTTTGGGGATCAGGAGTGCTTGGGAACAATAAGGCTGACGTAAAGGTGGGTTTAACATGGAGCCAGTGGAAAAAACTTTTAAGAGTTCTTGGCTCTGTAGAAAAAAGTAAAGTGATGATAGGTTTTAAAAATATTTGGTTTGAGTCAAGAAAGACTATAGATAAAGTGTCACTCAGATTTCTCACATTTGCCCTGCTTACATTTGAACTAAATGGAAACCTGCTAGGGAAGGAATTTAGCTGTGTTTCAGGAATTGTCAAGAGTTTGGATTGTGAAGACACAGATAATACCTGCTCAGTTATGACCTCAGTAGAGGTCAGACGTAAAAGGTAGAGATATTTGTTGATTTTTTTTTTTTGGTACCTGGCATTGAACTCGGGTCCTTGCACTTGCAAGGCAGGCAGTGGAACCACTGAGCTAAATCCCCGGCCCTAATTTTTGTGAAGATAGATTTTAGAGTTGCACTTATTCATTCATTAAACAGCTAGTAACATCTCCTAGAGCAGGCACTAGGCCCTCCTCTGGGGAGTGAGAATGGCTTAGACAGAGTCTTTACCCTGTTCTCAGTGTCCCAAGGAAGGAGTTGTGAAGGGGACCAAGAGTTGGAGGGCTGAGAGTTAGGGGACAAAAAAAAGAATTAAGATGTGTTATGGACATGTACCAACTCAGCATGATAAATATAATCATTACGTACTGCAAACATGTACTAATAAAAATAAGAGAAAAGGGCCGGGGCTTTAGCTCAGTGGTTCCACTGCCTGCCTCAAAACCGCAAGGTCCTGAGTTCGATCTCTGGTACCAAAAGAGAAAAACTTAGGGAAGATTGATATTTTTCAAAATGATAGCAGGGCCAGGGATTTAGCTCAGTGATTTCGCCGCCTGCTGTGCAAGCACGAGGACCCAAGTTTGATCCCTGGTACCAAAAAAAAAAAAGAGAGACAGAGTCTTTCTGTCCCACTTATCTTATTCAGACTACTTAGGCTGGGTAGCGCTCTGGGCCCTTAATCCTAGTGCCCTGAGGCCTATCCCTACCACTAATCAATCACACTCTCTAGATGTAGCCACCTCCAAACTAGCCCCACCTCATTCCCATGAGGCTTTGGGGGGACATCTAAACACAAAATGATAGCAAACATTATAACCAACGTATACCAGTATATTGTTATAGAATGTAATATGCATATTAAAATGTTTAAAGAAAAAAAATAATATGAATCAGATTAGGAACTTGTGCCAGGTCTTACATGCAGAGAATATTTGATGAATAAATGAAGGGCAGCTTGGTAATATTGGAAAATGTTTGTTATATAATTGAAAAAGAAGCTACACTGTTCGTGAACATACTTTGATTTCGTTTATGTTCTTTTCTCGTTAAAAACTCTAAAGTAATATATTTATGATGAAATAACGAAAATTGCTGTTTCTATTTTGAAATATAAATATACAATAATAATTTTTTGTTTTACCTTTAGGCATTTTTTACACTTGCACGAGATATAATGACAAAACTCAACAGAAAGATGGTTTGTGTCTCTTAAATTTTTATATTATTTGACCTTTGATACAAAGGATAAGCATGAATATAACATATTTATACTGTACTCTTTCTTGTGACTCAGATACTGATCGGGTTGATCTTTGATTCTTATTTCTGTTTCTTTAGGATTCCACTTGAGAACTGTAGCTGTTTAGCTCTTTCATCTGACCTTCAAGTGGTCTTTAATTGAATTTTTATCAGAATAATGAAAACAGTGATGGCACAAATTACATTTTTGTCATAAACTTGTATAGTTTATTTCATGTAGCAGATATTTATATCTGTATGGTTATAATCTTCAGGTTACTAAGGTTCTCTTAAATTGGAAAACTATCTCAATGATGAATCTTAAGGAGAACTTTGAAACTTTGTTTTAACCTGAGTACTGTCTGAAATTGTATACATCATATTACTAACTCTTCTTATCTCAAACAGGATTGTCTCTAGTAGTACCTTAGCATCATTTCCGTCGATACCCTTGAAACTTTACACTCCATTGGTTATTATTTCTTTGAACTGGAAATAGGAGCTTCCTACCTAATATATTATTAAAATAAAAGTGCTACCCTAAGAACACTTTTCTCCTTTTAATCTGCTATTTCCAAAGACAAAGACAACACTAGAGCGTAATTGGTTCCTCTTTTAATAAAATGCTCTAGCAAGTACACATTTCACTAGAATATACATTTCACATGGTATGGTTTATTTTTATGTTTTAGGTAATTGGGGTCAAAGCATGAAGCTTTCATTCCCTCAGTAACTTTATCCTCTGTGTTTTAGAATGACAGCAATTCATCAGGGGCAGGTGGGCCCGTGAAAATAACAGAGAACCGATCCAAGAAGACCAGCTTCTTCCGCTGCTCACTGCTTTGATGAACTCTTTCTTTCTGAGAGACTGCGGCACACCTAGAGGGTCCTTTCCTGCTTCTCTGAAAGCACAGGTCCCCCAGCCTCAGAGTCACCCCGCCCAGCTGCTGCGGAGAGCACCACTGAACTTAGACTTCTCGACACAGAACACCAAGTGGATTTCAGCCTTGTGGCCTCAAAACAGAACAGGCTTCTTTCTTCAAACACAGAAGCGATGACATGGAGACACACGCAGGACCTAACTGATTTTTCCTTTCTTTACTGCCTGCTGCAGAAGCTGCTATCTTTCTTTTCCACTTTGCACATCGTTAGCCTTTCCCTCTGACAGTGCGATCTTAGACTCCTATCTGGCACTTTTCTGTCAGGAAGCTGTAGACAAATATGTACACTTGGGATGTTTAAAAAACAATAAAACATTAAGCAGAGGTTGATATATTAAAGTTAAAAGACAGTTTTAAGAATTCATTGAAAGGCCCATTTAGTCATCAGAGGCCACAGTATCTATTTCTTCAGATTGTTGAGTTTTATTTCATTTCTGATTTTTTTTTTTGTCATCACCTGAGTAGCTGAATGAATTGCTTTTTAAATGTATTACCTCTGCCTAATCAATAGAAACTGTATTTGGAAATACTATTATATAATAATGTCACTTTTCCTGGGGTTTGTATTTGCTATGCTTTCTCATGTGTGGCATGTTTTACTTAGTTATGTAAAACTAATAACACATTGGAACATTGCTGTTTCTATTTCTGAACTTCTTCAACTGAAATTTTGCATAGGTAGAATTGTATCATTTAGTTTTATTTCAGCATCACATCAGAATATATATTTTTTCTTAGGTTCACCCCTTAGCTTGTTGGTTTTGTTGTAATATCTGATTTCTACCATAATCCCCATCTGTAAGAGTGAAGAAAAGTTAGATTTAGATTTTAGTTAGCAGAAACCATATCTATAGGGAGAAGGATTAACTTGTCGATGTAAATTTAAGAGATAGTCATAATGATGGTGAAAATAATGATCTTTGGGTCTGTTTTTTTTTAAAAATAAAAGTACATGGACTTAGAACACCCCCTAGGAAAAGTCTTGCCTTTTTATTAGAGAAAATATGACCAGCATTTCAGTTTTAAAACAGCCCTTATTGAATATATAGTGCCCAGCTTCATCTATTTAGGTGCATTGTGACAGAACTTTGTCCAGTCATTTGGGCTGAAGCCTTTCTCCCCAAACACTGATACTGGTATTCCTATTGTATATGAAACCATCACATTTTTTTAAAAAAGTATTTAGTGTCAATTTATGTGCCAAATTCAGATTGTAATGTCATTGTTGTTATTGTAGCTTTCAGTGTCATAACACAGAAGGGAATAGGAAAGAGGTGACTAAGAATATGAATTCTGTTATAATTAATCTTTCTGTCATGCTTGCCAAGACTGCTCTCATGCTAGGTAGTTAAGAACAGAAGGTGGAAGTGGAAATGATGGAATGCTTGTTACCACAAGGATTTCTGCTTCAAATTAGGATCTGTTGTTTAAATGCTTGGATCAGTCAGCCTTTAGTACTTCTTTTAAAACTTAGAAACAATTTAGGGGCCACATGTATGCCAGAGCTTTTTTTTTTTTTTGGTACCGGGGATTGAACTCAGGACCTTGTGCTTGTGCTTGTGAGGCAGGCGGCAGAACCACTGAGCTAAATCCCCAGCCCTGCCAGAGTTATTTTTGATGGTTACACTAAACTTGCTGTTGACAAGTTTCAGGCTCCTTGATTTTGTTTGTTTGTTTTATTAATTACAGGTAAGCTTAAAGTCACTCATTGCTGTCCCAGTATAATCAGTAGTTCCAGGGTTGCGAGTTGAGTATAAGTCTGCCATCTTCAGATTAGGTACACATATGAAAAGAAAAAGTAATTTCTTGGAAACATCTTGTGTAATTATCCCGGGGAAAAATACAAGCAATTAAGCTTTCTGGGTGGTAATAAAGTACTTTCTAAAGGGCAAGTGCTATGACACCATGTATGAATGTAATTCTCTTAGTATTTTACCTCTGACTATTTGGTGTCTTAACACTTTGGTTTCTATCTCAGGGGTTGTCTGCAAACCAAAACTGACACATTCTGTGGTTAGTCTTTTTTTTTTTTTTTAACAATGCTTTGCTTTTATTATATTTCTTCACTCTCCTTTTGTCTTCTGTAGGTATAACTAGTCTCCATGAACTTCTCTTTGAAAGAGCCTGTAAAAGTTAGATGTCTAAAAGTGCTCTTTGAAGTAGCAGCACACTGGGAGTATACACTCTGTTATATAGAAATAAAATTGTCCTTGCTATTTTCTTACATTTAGCTTTGCTAAATTGTATATAATTTGAGCTAAGACCATAGGAAATTTACTTTCTGCATGGTAAAATGACCCAATAAATATTCCATTTTGCTTAATAATGTACATATAGTGCATTATTTTTTCTATTTGTAGATGGATTTAGTGACATAACTGTTCCCTGCTGAAACTGAAGAAATCTAGTTTTTTTGTGAACATTTTTGTGGTTTTATGGATAAAGGTACATAAAGATTTTTGCAGCAGTGTTATGGTGGCTCAGTGGCTGCACTTTATGTGCTAAGTTTTGATGATTGGACTAGACCTTTTCAAATATAGAGTTTGAGGGTATCAGACAATGAAAATGTGCTGTAACTAAGTAGCATGAAAATCGGTTGATTGTAAAATGTTTCTCTGGGAACTTATTTTAGCTACATTTTACTTCAGACAGATTGTGACTAAATAATCCACTTGTGCATCAGTTAGTAGACGCTGCAGGGTTTCTTACTATTTACATGAACACTTTGTGCAGTCTTTGTTATAAATTTTCAGAAGACTATACTCTTTACTTTGAAGGACTTTTTAAATTATACCTCATTTAGCTAACTAGTATTCTAATATCTGGTATAAAAACAGTGAGCCAGCCTTTAAGCATCAACACAATTTAGATTATATGTTTTGTTTTGAATTGAAGGCATCCTTGGAAAAAGGTAGGTGATATTTTCATTTATAGTAAAACATATATGTTATTCCAACAGTGTAAAAAAAAGTATTATCTCCCTGCCCCATTAATAAATTTAGCCGTGCAATATAGATACATTTTTGCAGACGTTTCTAAGTAAGAGATTATAACACCATTTTACCGAAAGTCTGTATTAAGGCTTATAAAGTTTTTCCTGTGATCAGTAAATGATACATTTAAGCAGACCTGTTTTTCTGGTACTGGAGCTCAAACTTGGGTCCTTGCGCTTGCACAGCAGGTGGCGAAACCACTGAGCTAAACCCCCAGCCCAGCAGACCTTTTTTTTTAAGTTTATGACTTAGACTCCTTTGTAAGTTTAGTTCTTAATCTTTGAAGGTGAGCTTCTAAGCTTAAAAATTTTAAACTGTATTTCATTATGTTCTTATCTGAAATTTTAAGCAATTTTTTAGATTTTTTTTAACATTCCTTTATTCTTTGTTACATTGAGAGCACAGAGGAATATCTAAAAATGAAATCCCTTAATGTAAAAGGACCTAGAAAGATAGGATATGGTAATAAAGTTTCAAATCCTAGCAAAATTTTACAGTGGGATTAGCCTTTCTTTAGATTAATAAAAATAATGGGTGCCATGTTCATTATGAAAAAATCTTAATGAGCTAAATGTATGGAAATGTAAATGAGCAATTATTTTAGGGATATTTTCAGATTTTACTTCATTTTTTGAAATGTGTGCCATATGCAATTGCATTTCTTGTTGCCAAGATCTAATAAAACATTTTTTTTTTAAAAAAACCTTTAAAAAAACATGAATTATGATAGTTCATTCCTATGGCCTTACAGATAGGTTTTATTTTGTCTGCAGCTGACACTTCAGTTCCTTTAATACAAAACAACATAAACTATTTGACAAAAATCATGCCCCAATGGGAACTATATAGTTTTCCCCAAGAATTATCCTACTGTATATGTTTAGACATATTTTATTTTTTTCTCCATAGGCTTAATGTGAAAAGCTCCTGGAGATAAAATGGACCTGTCATGTGGTTAATCTTAAGCCAATTCATTCACTATGTACTGATACTGATGCTGTAGTTTTTTTTTTAAAATGGATTTTATTCCAGGTGAACTTTTTTTTTTACAATAATGTTCATCTAAAATAAAAACTACAAAATGAAAATGTTCTTGACTCTGAAGTATGTTGCACATTTTTTATATGGTTCTGTAAATTTGCTAAATATATGATTCAAACCATGGGAGACTTGTTATATGTTAAGAAACTATTTCTCACCTGGAGTTATTTAAAGACATACAAATGGCCAGACTTCCTACTCATACTTAGTTCAGAATACACTGAAGTTATTCTGTTATAGAATCTGCAGCCTTAAATTGTTTGTCCTGCCCTTCTTATTCCTTGCAAATTTAGTTTTTGGTAAGAGTTATTTTGAAATAAGAGTTTGATGGCACCAGCCCTGTTTCTAGTCTCAGCCTTTTTCATTCATCCCATAACCATTTCAAACTTCCAGTTTTTTTTTTTCAAGCTTCCTGCCTCTTTTCTCTCATTTTTGGAGGAAGGTACGTAGTAGTTTCTCTGATTTCTTACGGCTGATTTATGCTCTCCTTGCCTTTCTCTTAACGTGTTCATCATGGGGCCATAATTCATGTCTTGCTGCCAGGCAGCTCAGATTTGAATTCTTGTCTGATGTTAAATAGCTGACCACCGGTGGTTCAAGCCACCCAATTGGACAGTCATGCATGGACCATCAGTGTTCAAACCAGCGGGAATGTGTTTTCTCACATTTCTTTTTTTTTAAATCAGTAGTGAGTAATGTTTGCAGGCTGAAGCTGAATTTACTGTAAGAGTATGTGGTTGTTACTTTGGTCTCCAGCTTCTAAGTGTTACTTCCTGAAAATTCTCACCCTACACCACAAATGAAATCAGTGCTTAATAAGACCTAGGATAGGATCCTCAGGTTGGCTTATGTAGGGCCAGTGGCTTCACTCTGTCCTCTCATGGGGCCTCCTTTCTAAGCTGAGCAGGATGAAAACGACATCACTTCTTACCAAGGAAGCTAAGTCCTCTTCTAGAGGACATCCTGTCTCCTCTCTGCCAAAGCCAAATTTCCCCCTCTCTTTTTCCTACCACACAAATGCTTGAGAATGCTCTGCCAATTGGCTTTTACTCCTACATCTGTTACAGTCACAGCTAGATCTAGTGGACACATTTCACCAGTACCTTATGTGACCTCTCAACAGCCCTTTCTGAAACAGTTTGTCCCCTTGGCTTTCAGCATACCAAATGCCATTTTCCTCATTACCCTTCTGGCTGCTCTTTTAGTTCTTTTAGGGTTCCTCTTGTCATCCCCTAAGGTTAGCTTCTGGCATGGTCTCTGTTCTTGCTTCACTAAATGATTTTACTTACTCTCAAGGCTTCCACTAGTCTGGAGCCTCGATTCTAGATTTTTAGTCCAGGACGCCCCTGATCTTAGTTGCCTACTGAATACCTCCACACAGTCCTACAAACCTCTAAATTTCAGGGTATCCAAAATGATGCTCATTATTGTGTCTACTTCCCCTCTTCTCTTTCCATCTCCAGCAGTCATTTAAGGCAGCAATCTCTACAGGCCATCATCTTTGACACTTCCTCTTTCTATGTTCATTAATCACTGGATTCTGTTTGCAGTTTCCAAGTCTCTCTTAAATGTGTCTGTTTCTCTCCATACTCCTGCTACTTTCCTGATTTAAGACTCAGAAATTTAATGGTGTATGAGTTCTACTTTTCAAAGTATTCATTGACAAGATATTTAGTGAAATCCCTGCTCTCCAGGAGTTGCATTCTAAGGGGAAGACAAAAAAAGCAAATGAGTAAAATGGTCTCTGTCAGAGAACAGAGATGGGAGATACTACTGTTGCTCTAGGGTAGAGAATGCCTTCAAAAACAATTTTGAAGATGTGGGAGTGAAATTAAAATGATCTCGCCAAAACAACCCTCAAAAGGACAGCTTCTTCTATCACTATTTCATCTTTTCCATCTGTGAGTTATTGCCTGGTTCACTGTTAACCCAGCCTGGGTTTTATATATGATGAAGCAGGACGTTCCAGAGACTGCAAAAAAAAAAAAAAAGTGCTTTAAAAAAGATTCCATTATTGTATTTCTTTTTTTTTGGTTCCAGGGATCGAGAGATTCCATTATTTTAAAAGGAATCCTGTCTTGGCCCTGCGCTGTTTTTTAGCCGACGTAGAATCTTTCCTCCTCGGTGCAGGAGGCTCTCGAGTGGGCTGGTGTCTCAAGAGCTGCGGCGCAGCCTGGACGCTCCCAGACGTCTGGTGGCTCAAGGTGGACCTGCTTGAGAGTTGTGCGCTCCAGGGGTCGCTGCTCCCACCTCGCAGCACGCCCCCAGCTCGCCCTCGCCCCCGCCCCCGCCCC